TCCTCTCCTTTCTCCTCTCCTTCCTATCTTTCCTTCTACTCCACCCACTCTATCCGTTGTTGTGTTTACATATTCTCCTCTTCAGGGGATGGACCTTTTTGCCTCCGAGCCTTAACATCGGCCCAAGGGAAGCGGCTCTCCAGCCATAAGGCGGATTGAAGGTGCAGTTATTCACCTGGAGATTTGGCCTTGCAAACGCAGGGGCTTCCAGCGGGCGTGACTCAAGGGGTGTGGTTGGGAATTGGCTCCGCCCCTGAGACTGGGAGAGGCTCCCAAGACAAAGAAATGCCTTGGAGGGGGGGCACCAGATGGGCAGCTTACTCCACAAGCCACGAGACTTTCCTTTCTCAGGACCTCGACTTACAACCGCCATCGAGAGGGGAACTGTGCATGGTCACTAAGTGAGAACAACTTGTCCAATCCTCAACTTAGGACCAGAATTTTGTCACTAAACAAGGCGGTCTTTTAAGTGAGTTTTACATTTTTACAACCTTTTCTGACGCAATTGTTAAGTGAATCCAGCTTTCTCCCCCACCCCACCCCCTCCATTGACTTCACTTGTTTGGAGGTCCGTCCGTTTCCCCCCCTCCTTGGAGGTCCGTCATCCCCGAGGAAGGTTTTAAACGGCGTTCAGGTGACCTGGGGATGCTACGACCTTTGTCAACGCGAGCTGGTTGCCAAGCACCCAGGTTGTGATTGCAGGGGCGTTGTGACGGTCGTAAATGTCGAGGACCAGTCATAAGTCGCTTCCAGCACCGTCGTAACTCTGCAAGGTCGTTAAAACAGTTGTGAGTCGAGGACTGCCTGGATTCTAAGGCTTTGGTCCTCTCCAAATGCCCCCCCCCCCGCTTTGAGTTCCCCAACGGCAGATTATTTCGGCAGATTATTTCGCCAGCAACGGTGACCTGCGTTGACGGATCTCTTAGAAGGAGCAATCTGTATAAATGCCTGTGGGAGGAAGGGATTTCCCCCCCCCCCTCCCTGCTTTCTCTTTCTTTCAGTATTTGGGAGATTCTTGCAGGGCTTATATGTCAAAAGATAAAAGTCACAAGAGCATCTTCAAGTGCACAATTTTTTTTTATTGAGAATTTTGAAAAAGAAACCCTTACCAATATTTACTTCCCTCCCCCCACCCCCCACCCCGACTTCCCAGAACCAATACAGGGTATAAATCTTTAACAAAAACATTCTAAAATAAACTTTAAAAAAAGTTA